AGACGGTATTCCAGTGGAGATGTCAGATGGATGACTGGACATTTGAATAGGGAGCTCGGTCATCTTGACTAAGCTGAAGACATGTACCATATGCATATATACCACATAGCTGGAATTATTGGTGGGTGGCAAGTATTTTCTCAAGCATCTGATTATACATACTCTATTGTAAATTACCTATTGTGTTTTTTACCTATTGATCTATTGAATCCCTGACAATTATTCTTAAAATTCACTATAAATTTAGCACAATTTAAAATATATGATGATAGGGGCTGGGGATTTAGCTCAGCGGCACAGCACCTGCCTGGCAAGCACTAGGTTGTAAGTTTGATTCCCAGTACCAGGACAAAACAAAACAAAACAAAAATAAATAAATAAAGTAAAATAAAATAAATGATAAACCACCTTAAATCACTTAGTCATCACAACAAATTTGATGTTCTTTTTTAAAAAAATATTTAAAGGAATGAGACTGAAGCTTAGAGAGGTTAAATAATTTCTCCAGCCATGACAGGTAATAAGCAGCAAGAGGATATGCTGGATCTGTGGGTCTAATGTGAATTCTGACCTCCATGGACAAATTTAGAAATTATCAGCATGTAACAAGTAAGGTAAACACATTTTTCCTTCCACAAGGAAATGATGTACACTTTATGCTCATAGAGAGGGGATATATTGAGTCTCTCAAGAGAACTTTCAGGATGGCACATGCAATAAATCAGACTTAGGAACTTATCCCTGCACATCAAGAGTGAATCCATCTTTCAGGAATGGATTCACATTAACCTAGTTTATGAGTCTGACTTTTAAAAGTAGAAGGTCAAGTTGCAATGAGAAGTCACTATTGCAGAGACTGGAATGTATAAAATTTATGCAACTAGGGTTTTTGGGGGTAGTGAGGGGTGGCCTGAGACAAGCCTAGGTATGCAGTTTAGGCTGGCCTTGAATTCACTGTGTAGCTCAGGCTGACCTCAAACTCATGGTTATCCTCCTCTTTCCGCCTCTTGAATGCTGAGATTACAGGTGTACCACTGTGCCCAACTGCTGCTACAGCTGCTGTTGCTGCTGCTGCTGGTGATTTTAAATAATTGTTATTCTTAAAATGAGTGAAAATGTGTGGAAGTTAATGACCATAAGAGAATCCAAGTCATTCATCCTACTTTTAGGATGTTTGTTCCAGGGAACAAAATCTTATAATGCTCAGTGCCTTTAATCTGCTCATTTATTCTGCATGACATCAACCCTGACTGCACCCTTTTGTTTCCCTCTAGTCTGTCTGATTTATCTGCCTAAGACAACATTGATAACCCCAGCCCACTGGATTTACCCAATAATGAAAATTAGATTAGTAAGAAAGTCTCCTGAATTTTTTTATGTTTCAGTAGATAATACCTTTTCTTTTCTTTTCTTTTCTTTTCTTTTTTTCTCTTTTTTTCAGTGCTGGGAATCAAGCCCAAGGTTCTGGCCATGCTAGGCAACCTTGTGTCACTGAGCTACTCCCTCAGCCCAATAATTCCAATTTTTATCTTTTCAGATCTTCCTTTTTTGAGACACTAATTTCACAAATCCGCCTTCTGATATCATTTAGATACTATAACAAATTCTGTCAAATTACTATTCAGATTTTATTCCTGGGGTCCAATCTGGATCTTCAGTTGTTCCCATAATTTTATTTAAGCCTCAGCTGTTTCAGTTATTGATCATATAACCTTAGCCATTGATTCCATCTGTGCTGTAGCTTCTTAATCTGTAGAATGGGGAAAATTATGTCAAAGTCATAGAATTACTGTTCAGTGCTTAGACTGTGGGAAGCATTCAGTACCTATGGTCTGTCACGTATGTACCTGGCATCATTGTATGTTGAACTTTAACATTCTCAACATAAAAGTATCTTCAAGTTCTTAGATAAAGCATTGCTGTAAAACCCAATGATTATAATGTCAATCACAGGTGGTTTTGAATCTAAAACAAAGGCAGGACGGTGTGGAAGAATTCAACGGGACCCATAGCATGAACTTCAAAATTGGACTAAGAGATAGTAATCTGGGAGCTTTTTAAAAATCAGAAGAGGGGAGCTCGGGTGTAGCTGAATGGCACAGCATGTAATTAGCACATGTGAGGCCCTGGGCTCAATCTCCAGCACACACACACACACACACACACACACACACACACAACTACATAAAACATTAGGTGCTTACATATTTTACCTTTCAGCAATCTCATGAATAATAGATTTAAAGCTACAAAATAACTGGGCATTGTGGTGCATGCCTCTAATCCCAGCACTTGGGAGGCTGAGGTAAGAGGATTGCCTAAGTTCAAGGCCATTGTGAATTACAGAGTGAGACCCTGTTTCAAAAATAAAACAGACAGTAATAAAAGTACAAAATAAAACAAGATTAAAAAACATCAAATTATGTTGATTTTATCAAAGTATTCCAAACTCAAATTTATATCAGCTCTTGTTCTCCCCACCCCTGCATTATAGGTGATGGAACCCAGGGCCTTGTGTGTGCTAGGTAAGTGCCCTACCACTGACCAAAGAAAGAATTTTTGAAGGAGGGACAGCCCTTATCTTTGTTTTGTTTTGTTTTGTTTTGTTTTGTTTTAGTCCTTATCTTTGAAAGCCCGTGGTTACAGGCTCTTAGGGTTCGTGGCCTTTCTTGTCCAGAGGCCCAGCTACCAGCAGGCCTCTGGAACTCCTCTGGCCATCAGAGATGGCGGCTTGCGGCAGTTCTTCGTTGCTCTCTGCTGCTGGCTGCCCCAGCTGTTGGCAGCCCCAGCTGCTGGCAGCTTTTGGTGGTAGTGATTTTGGGTTACCAATCCTGGTAATCCTACTGGTGTTTTTTTGTGCCATAAGCCTTCAGCCTTCAGTATTCCCATCTCCAACTGCAGGCTGCTTTGGGTGCCAGAAGCATTTGATGTTGTCAACTCTTAGTGTAGCTTAGCACAATTCATTTGAGCTAAAAATCATGAATAGACAAAATCATGCCATTTTGAATGGTTTTATCGGGACACATGTTGCAGCCTAAGGAGGAATAGCATGTGAGTCAAACCCGCTAAGAGTATGGGGAAGTTGCTTTAAAAAACCACGGCTTACATACGCACAGTACTGGACATTCTGTTTGGGCATGGTAGGGCAGCGGGCCCCTGACAGACCTAGTTGAGGGCTTCAGGAGGGCAGAATCATCCAGCTAGGCTGCAGGGCAGAGTCATCTGGGATAGGTCCACCTTTGAAGTTTGCTATAGTCAAAAGAAATCTCTTTTGGAGTGGTTATGGAGTGCCTAATGTAGGCAGGGTGGCTGCAATGCATTTGGGATAGCTGTGAAAGAAAGAAGTACCTCTTAGGGAATGTTCACCCTTATCAGCTGTCTCAGTTAGATACTATAAACATAAAAAATGCTTATTTGGTTTATTACTTTGCTGAAAATTATGACGCATTTTTATTAGAGAAATTAGAGGCATCAATGAACAAGAGTTTGAAGACTAACTGGGGGGTACAAACATGACCAGGAAAGGCAGACTGAGATGCCACTTTTAAGGAGCTTGGCTGTGAAGGTGTGAGAGGGAAGTGCTATGGATAGAAGCTTGTTAGTCTGACAGGGACTGATTACCCAGGGAAGAGGTGTGGGCTTATATATGTGATTTGGGGAAAAAACATTAGAGGCTGGGCATGATGGTGTGTCTCCAATTCCAGCACCCTGGAGGCCGAGGCAGGAGGATTGCCTTGAGTTAGAGGCCAGCCTGAACTACATAGTGAGGACCTGTCTCTGCTGCCCCGGCATGCCTCCCCACAGGGGATAAAGCAATCAAAAGGAAGAGGCTAGGGCTGGGGAGTTAGCTCAGCAGCACAGCACCTGCCTGGCAAGCGCAAGGTCGTGAGTTCGATTTCCGGTACCAGAAAAAAACAAACAAACAAACAAAAGGAAGAGGCTGGAGAATTAAGACAGAGGGAGTACACTTGATGCAAAGACCTCTGAGGAAGCAAGAGGGGGCAGGGACAAGAGGACAAATAAGGACATCTACCCTAGACCAGGAAAAGAGCATCCACTGGGAGGAGGCTACAGCATGGACATGAGAAGGAGTGGTGAGCTGGTAAAGGAAAGCAATATTTTTATCTGTTCTGGAAATAGATTTTCCAGGAATTTGGGCACTACTTTTTTCCCCACCCCTTTTATGGTTCTTTCTGGTCATCCTTGGGGCAGTTGTCAACTGTACCCGTGCAGTATATCCTAGCAGCTTGTGCAAGTGGCATTTGACAGGAGACGCACTCTTGAGATTAGCTCAATGGCTTCATGGGAAGGTATCAGTGTCCAAACAAAAGTACAGAGAGGAAGGGAAGTTGGTGCAGGGAAGGTAGCAAACAATAGCTACTATAAATGACTGTGGAGGCAGAAAGCCTGGGATTTAAATCTTGGCTCTGCCCCTTTTGAGCTCTTGGGAAGTTAATAAACCTTGGAAAGCCTTTTTTCAGTAAGGAAAAAAGAAACAGTAATATTTGCTCATGAGGTTACTGAGAGGATTAATGGATGAAAGAGTCTATGAAATGTCCTGGCCCCTAGAAGGGGCTCAGGGCTTGTTGATTTCCTTTCTTTTTCTTCTTATGTGTATTCGTTTACAGTGTAGCCATTTGGTAGACTCTGAAAGGATCAGTACATTGTCATTTCCAGTGAATGTATTTTTGAGGTGCTAATATCTTCTAATGAGGGCATGAGCCATTGTGTAAACCATTAGACTAAACATTACAGATGGTCCCAGCACATTGCGTTCATGTCACAGATGGCTCATAATAGCAAGGCACATATTAATAAACAAGAATAGATGTATCAGTTTTAGCTCTGGGTTTTCATTTCATACTTCAATACACTATTATTGTTTAAATACAAACCTGTACACATATATATGTTTGTCTTTCTATATATTTTGTTAGGAAAAATTCACAAGAACATGTCCCTTATTTAGTTTTTGAAGGCATCTTCTTCTCTTCACACAGCACTGCTGTATTTTCCTCTCACCTGAAGTCAACTAGGAGGGATTTCAAAAACTGGGGAGAATTTAATATGTGGTCCTTGGATTTTGGAGCTCCATCACTCCAGAGAAACAAGCCGGTGATCACCGTGCCTTTGTAAGGAAGCCCGCTCTGACCTCTGGAACTCTGACCCTTGGAAGCTCATCACTGACAAACAGTGATGCTGAGCGAAGGGTGAAGCCCTACTATGATCCCTCATGGATTGTACTTGCTCTGTGTGTGTCCTTTATATTAAAACTATTGTTGCAAAGAAAAAAGCAAACAACAAAATTAAAGCTATTATTGTAACTGTGGTACTTTTCTGAGTTCTCTGAATTGTTCTAGTAAATTATCACACCTGAGGGTGATGTGGGAACTCTTGAATTTGCAGCTAGTAAGTCAGAAGTATAGGTGGCCCAGAGACGCATCTTAGGAGAGTTGGCCCTTACAGTATCTGTGCCAGCTCTGGGTGGTTTGTGTCAGAAATGTATCACAGTGCACTCGATTGGTGTTACCTTACTTGAAGTTAAAATAACATGCTATATAACTGTACTGTAGTGTTCAGATTTTGGTTGTTCAAAGTAATTTAAAAATTGATTTCTCATAATTCTGTAGGTTGATTGGGTTTATTAGGTTGGCTCTAACTTGTGGTCTGCTATCTAAGTGTAGGGAAATAGTGGCTGAAGCCTTAGCAGGTAGCGCCTGGATCAGGATGTGTGAGCAGCCAGAGCTGACTGGATCTCTCTGTCCTCATAACTAGCCTGGGATTTCTCTTGTCATGATGACCTCAGAGTAGTCAGACTTCTCATGTGGTGGCCGGCTTCTGTGCAGGAGGTGAACAAATAGGTTTCGTGTGTTGTTCAGGCCTCCCACCCACTGATACGTAGAACCGAGTTTTGCCTTAGACTTACTGGATTTTTCTTGCATTGCTATCTTGGTAGTCTCCTGCCTCCATCCACCCGTACCCACGTTCACGACACACTGAATTTTTCCACAATATAACTCATACAGACCCAAAGGACCCAAAAGTTGTGGAAAGACGATGGCTATCTGAACAACAATGGTTTAAATGAACAGTTAAAGTGGAAAACTCATTTTGCTGATTCATAATTTGCAGCACTCATCCCTACATTATTTATTTATTTATTTAGGCAGGATCTGACTCTGTAGTTCATGCTGGCCTTAAACTCACTATGTAGCCCAAGCTGGCCTTAAACTCACTGAGAGTCTCCTGCCTCAGCCTCCTGAGTGCTGAGATTACAAGTGTGCACCACCATGCACAGCTTAATCCCTACTTTAAAAAATCCTTAGCCAGACCTGTTGCCACAGAGCATATTGATAGGTCATTCTGTAGTACAAGTAAGCTCATAGGTGCTTCTTTAAACTTACTTCAGAACAGATACAGATTTGGATGAACTATTTGCTTTAAAAAAGAAAAAAAGTAGACCATGCACATTATTTAAACGAATCTTCATTTTGTGATATTTATAGTTTTCTGGATTGGTAGATCATTTCCGTATTGTATCATTTATTAACACTAATGTAGAAAGACATGCTCTAGAATAGACTATGATGTAATTTTTTTGTATGACTGGTCTAAATCTGGGACTAATCTAGTAATCAGTCCATTGCACAAGTATTCCAGTTTATGGATGTACCACAATTTGGTACTCTCGGTCTGATACCATCTTTGATGAAATTCCACAAATGTGTACAGTCGTCTCTTGATATATCATGGTTCACTTATTGCAGCTTCACTGTATCATAGGCTTTTAAAAAAGTTGATATAATTCTATATTGCAGAGTTTTCCCTATATCGTGAGAATCTGGGGTATATAGGTATTTTTATAATATTTATGATTTTAATTATTTTGCCTAAAAACTTAAAACAATATAAAATATAAAAATGTTAATTCAAATATATTAAAGGAACATTAAATTGAAATGAAACAGTATGTATTTCATCAGTGGATGAATACTGTACTGTACACAATGGAAATGCAGTACGCCACTAGGCTTGCCCAAGTTTGCCAATGTGAGATTGTACGTGGCACACTGTTGGCTGATGGAATGGAAGGCGACGAACCACAGCACAGTGTTTTGTATCCTGGGTGCTGATTGGCTCAGCGATGGTAGCATCAGTCTGTTTGCTCTCCCACACTGTGCCCACATGTTCAGCATCTCTCCTTGTCCACTTCTCATCAAGTACCCATGTAGAATTTTACATGTTTTTAAAATTACATAGGTTTAAAAGTGTAGAATGTGTTTAGTAGCATATGAAGTGTTTATAAGAGTGTGGGAAAGGTTAATAAGGGAGTGGGAAGGGTTTATAGGAGTGTGGAAAGGGTTTATAAAGCCTTAAAATATACATGATAAAATAAATATAACACCGTATTTTGTGAATTTTCACCTGTTCCGGGGTCTCTGGATCGTGACTCCCACAACAGGTGAGGGATCACTGTATGTGACACGGTGCTCACAGCTGTGGAGGATACAAAGATGCTCACAGAGTTAAGACTAAAAGAGAGAGAAGTGCCAGGTAGCTGCAAGACAGTGCAGATGGGTGTGTGTAAAAGACATTGGCAGGGTGGTTGTTTGGTTCAAATATGAAGTGTCCCTCAAAGATGCATGCATATTCAGAGCTTGACTCCCCAGTGCGGCAATGCTCAGAAGTGGGGCCTGGAAGTGATTGCGTCATGAGGGAGTGAAATGGGCTCTTAAGGAGGTGGGGCCCAGCTGAAAGAAGTAGGCCCCTGAGGGCAAGTGCTGAAGGCCTGTGTGGTTCCCTGCACCTTCTTGTCTGGCTCTGCCCCTGTTTCCTGACTGCTATGAGGGGAACAGTTTTCCCTTGCCACACCTTTCAGCCGTGTTGTTTCTGCCTTACCACAGGACCGTGGGTTTAAACCTCTGAAACCGTGATGCAAAAGAAATCTTTCCTCTTTACAATTGTTTATATCGGTACACTATTTTGTCAGAGTAATGCAAAGCTGACTCCCACGGGGCCAGAGGGTAAGATGCGGGGGGATTAACAGTGGTTTCTCATCTACAGAGCAGAAGGGACAGGAAAGTGATCCAAATGCAGGGGACACATTGGAGGCTTAGAGCAGGAGAGTTCGGGCTGTGGTTGGGATGATGAGTACATCTCAGCGGACACAGAGTACACGTGGGTGAGCACCAAGGGAAAACTGAACAAGAGAGTGGAGCGGGATTGCGGAGGCTTCTTTCAGAGAAATGAGTCATGGAGGCTTCTGAGCTCTCAACATGCTGCTCCAGACAGCCTCCCTCAGGGAGTAGTGTCCATGCTTGACCTCAAAGTGGCATAGCTCTCTCTTGTCTGATGAAAAAGATTCATTTTAAAGTACAAAAAAACCAAAACTCCCCTTCTAATAAGTTTCCCCCCTCAAGTAGCCAAGCTCATTAGAACAGGCTCTAATCTCCTCACCTTTTTCTTTTTCTTCAGTCCTTTTGAGACAGGATCTTGCTATACAGTTTAGGCGGGGCTTGAGCTCACTTTGTAGCCCAGGCTGGTCTCGAACTTGCAGCAATACCCCTGCCTCACCTCCCCAGTGCTGGGATTACGGGCGTGCGCCACCACACCTGGCGAGAAGGAGGCTTTTGACTCGCTGTTTCCACCCAGTGGATGCCAAGGCAATGTTCCAGAATCTGAACAAGCACTCCGCAGTGCATTTTTTTTCCTCATTGAAATATTGGGTCTGTCTTTTGCTTTACTCACTGTCTCATTATTTCAGTAATGTAAAACAATGTCAGTTTACTTTTTTAAAAAGGCAGAATTGTGAGCATTGTCTGAGTTGGCATGGTCACACAGAGCAGCCATGGCGTCAAGTTTGTCAGCATTCGTTTGGCACTGGAGAGTGAGGACAGAGGCTCAGTCAACACTTTCAGGGCACACTTCCCAAGTTACTACCAAGTGTAAAGCACAGCCTCTGACTCAGCAGAAATGTGGAGGTGATGAGCAGCCTTCCCTGTCTGGTCCACTGTTTACCAGCTCGCCCTGTGGGAGCCGTCCCCCGCCTCCTGGTGTGACTGCAGGGAGTAAGGAGGAAGCCATGGGCGTGCACCGCCTGGGATCTGGAGCGTTACCCACCCGGGATCTGGAGTGTTACTCAGCTTTGTTGCCACTGTAACAAATACCTGAGATAAACCAACTTCAAGGAGAAACGGCTGACTTTGGCTCACAGTTTCAGAGGCTGCAGCCCGTGGCCAGTTGGCCTTGGTGTCTTGGCCTGTGGGAAGGCAGAAGGGCATGGTGGAAGCATGTGGCACAGAAAGCTGCTCACTTCACAGGGAGTAAAGAGAAACACAGGAAGGACAGAGGTCCCAGTAACCCCTTCATACCACTCATGACCTAACTTGGTGGCTCACACCTGTAATCCCAGCACTCAGGAGACTAAGGCAGGAGGATTGTTGCGAGTTCGAGACCAGCCTGGGCCTGCACTGTATAACGAGACCCTGTCTCAAAAAGACAAAAAAAAAAATCTCCTCACTTCTGATGTGTTTTAAAAACCCTCAACTTGGAGCTGGAATATAGCTCCTGCTTACAGAGTAGAGCCCTGCTTAACCACTTACAAGGCCCAAGGTTTAATTCCCAGCACCAAAACAAACTTCTTAAATGCAACCACCCTCCGTCAACAAAAAATTCTTTTTAAAACATTACAAGAAATAAGTACTTATTAAGTAATTTAGAAAATACACATAAGCAAAAGTATGCAGTTAAAAATTCATCCATCTTTACTCTCAAGAGCAACTGTAGTTGAAATGTTGCCGTATGTTCTGTTCTTTGTGCATGTATTCATGTATTATTTTTGTGCACAAAATGCTTGATTTATAAAAATGAGTGCTAATTATTTTATGATCTGCTTTCCTCACTTACTAATACTATATGCCCATTATTCCATGTCATTAAATTTCTTTCTACAGCTTCAATTTTTTTGTATCATATTGATTGATTGATTGATTGATTGATTTTGGTACCAGAGTCAAACTCATGACCTCACACTTGCCAGGCAGGTGCTGTGCCACTGAGCTATATCCCTGGCCCCAATATATCAGATTTATTGAGGTCAATTTTACATGCACTAACACTCACCTTTTTAGTTGTTGTTTTTGTTCTGTTTTATTTTGTTTTTCTGAGGGCCTTCCTCAAACTTCCAGACTCAAATGATCCTCCTGAGTAAAAATGCACCTTTTTTAAAGTGCTCACTTTGACCAACCTGGGCTATAAAATGAGCTGAAGGCCAGCCTAAACTGCACAGTGAGACCCTGTCTCAAAGAGACAAAAATAAAAGTGGTCAGTTTGGTGATTTTCACAAATATAGCCATGTGAGCATCAGGAAAACCAGGATAGAGTATTTTTGTTATTCCCCCAATTTCTTTTCCCACCTTCAGCCCCAAATCTGATTTTTTGTTTTTGTTTTTGAGACAGGGTCTCACTATGTACTTTTATGTATTAGAGAGGGTCTCACCTGAACTTGTGGTGATCCTCTTGCCTCAGCCTCCTGAGTGCTAGGATTACAGGTTTGTTCCAACATGCCTTCACCTTAGTTTTATCTTTTACTGAATATCATATAACTGGGATCATATAGTATGTTGTGCACACATTTGTGTATGTATCTGGATACTATCATTTAGAATTAGGTTTTTGAGACATATTTGTATTGCTGAATGTATCAACAGTTCATTTCTTTTTATTACTGAGTAATGTTTCATTATGTGGACATACCACAGGTGGTTTATCCCTTCACCAATTCACAAATGTTTGAATTGTTTCCAGTTTTGATGATCATTAATAAAGCTACTATACACATGTGTGTACTGGTCTTTTTTTTTTTTTCTGGTCAACTGATCAACATTTTTGTTTCCCTTGTCAAAATTCCTAGAAGTGATACTGCTGAAGCATATGGTAATTATGTACTTATAAGAAGTTGATACCAATTTTCCAAAGTATGCTACCATTTTGCATTGCCTTCAGTAATGGAAGAGGGCTTCTGCTCTGTACTTTTACCACTGTTAAATGAAAAACTTGCCATTGTAATAGGTGGGAAGTGTTATCTCATTATGGTTGTAATTTACATCTCCATTTCCCTTTGCTATTTCATCTCTTCTGTGTGATGAAATCCTATTCAAGTTATTGGCCTTGGAGTTTACCTAGTTATTGAATATAAC